GATTGATGATGGTGGTGGTTCCTTCTGTCTGCCTAAGATACGCGTGTCTGGTCATGGTGCTAGTATTGCTCCTGTTTGTACCTCAGCATTCGGTCAGGATTCATCATTATCTGATAGGTGAAGAGCCTCCCTTTCTATCTTATGGGATAATGAACGATCGCTGACTCTCAAGGGATGTCTATATACCTCTCCAGGGATTTTCTTGAGCCCACTAGCGTCAGCAAGGACGAGTCTGTCGGGAGTATTGCAAGGATTGCTTCTAGGCATGGTCCAGAATGGGATTGCACGATGGTCGTTCGCCTCAATCCTAGAGCGCAGTTCGGAGGTGTTCGGCGACGGCTATCATTCCGGAGACTTGATGCCCGAGTTGGATGTAGCAAACAGCGTCCTGATGGATCAAGATCTCAAGATTTCTTGGATGGACCGACATGGGACTGATCATCACGGATGGGTTGGCGTGATGATCAACGATATCTTGCGATTCATCATCCCCACTATCCAACACTCACTCACCATCCATAACTTCCAACAGAATCTCACCACTAGTCGCTTTAATCTTGCCAGCTCACCTACGACTACCATCGATCGTGTCTTCTTCAGATTGGCCTTCTTTCATCAGGACAACCTGCATTCCAATCGTCGCGTCGGTGAATATACTGGTCCCATCACCTTCTTTGTCCATAACCAAACTTGGCTGGGTCCCATCTCAGTTGTCTAGACAATGTATTATGATGTAGTACGCAATGAACAGGAGAACACGATTGGTTTTTGTGGCTTCTTTTGCTTGTTGAACTTATTTTCGCTTTCCAGTTAAAATCGGCCATAAAACTTTTCACCGGAAACATACCCGCTGCTTGTTTTGTCCCCGGGTGACCGTAACCCCCGTGGGGTTCTTATCATTCGGGGACCCTCTCCCCGTGGTATAAGTCAGTCGAGCTCCAACGTCTTCCACTCTCTTCAGCAGGGAACGCAAGATGGTGTTAGCAGATTTGGGGAAGAAGATCAACGCTGCCTTCAGCGAACTACAACGCACACCCCTGATCGACGACAAGGTGAGTCTTCAACCCATACAGTCCTCTGATAAATACCACTTTGTGAAACTAATTGTTTTATTTGGTGCCTTGACATTCTGCAAACAGGCGCTGGATGTTCTCCTTAAGGGGATATCCTCGGCCTTATTGTCTTCAGATGTGAACGTCACGCTGGTCGCCAACATGCGCAATCGGGTCAAGACTAAGCTGTTACCGCAGCTGGAGAAGCTGATGCAATCACCAGCCAAACAGAAGCAACTAGTGCACAAAGTGCGCATTCAGAATCCGCACCTCATCTGCGTACAACGAAAGGGATATTGATCTTGCCTCTTGTGTGTTGATAGACGGTGTTTGATGAGCTCGTCGCGCTCGTCAGTCCCTCCGGTCCTGCTGGCTCTCACAACGCCTCGTCCTCCTCTCGCCCTGCCGACTTTGCTGCCCCCTGGCAGCCTAAGAAAGGCAAACCAAACGTCATCATGTTCGTTGGTCTTCAAGGCAGCGGCAAGACTACAAGCTGTACCAAGGTTTGCTACACCTAATTTTATTCATACTCGTTTGAATTATCGCAGTTAGGAGCCCTCTTAACCTCAAACGTACCGTGCTTCTTTTTTTTTAGTTGGCTGTGTACTACAGACGCAAAGGATTCAAAACAGCACTGGTGTGTGCGGACACATTTCGGGCAGGTGCGTTTGATCAACTGAAGCAGAATGCGACCAAAGCGAAAATCCCATTCTATGGATCGTGCGTTCCTCCCCCCCAAAAAACCCTTCTACAAGATCTCTTCAGTCTAGACTGACCTCCCCTTCTTTCTGCCTTTTAGTCATACCGAGACGGATCCTATCGCTATCTCTGCCGCCGGCGTTGCCCGGTTCAAGCGCGAAAGATTCGAGGTTATTATCGTCGATACTTCTGGTCGTCATCGGTCAGTCCTTCTTCATCATTTGATACAAATCACATGTGACATTTAATATCACATCTCCACCGCACTACTTCCCCAAGGTATTAATTGGGTTGACTTGACTTCCCGTTTCAATATCACAGGCAAGAAACTGAGCTATTTGAGGAGATGAAGCAAATCTCAGCAGGGGTGTCTCCGAATCTGACCATCATGGTTCTGGACGGGGCTATTGGTCCGTATAGATTCATATTTCTCTCTCTCTCTCTCTCTCTCTCTCTCTCTCTCTCTCTCTCTCTCTCTCTCTCTCTCTCTCTCTCTCTTATTACTACT